TGATTTTTGCTCTCTGTTTACTCTACTTGACACACTTCCCATTTCATCCTTCAGCTCTCAGATCTGTCTTGCAGAATCCTATCCATGTCAAGCCAAGCTCTGTGAATCTTCCCTATTTATTGCAGCTGGCCATCTTTCATAGAAACCGCAAAATTTAAATCTCTGAAGGCCTTAGAGATTATTTGAGTCATTTCTTCATCTTCTAAAGATGAGGTCCTGATTGGGCAACATCTTGGTCAAGGGCATACAATCAGTGGTGGAACCAGGACTAGAATTTGGGGCTCTGTTCAAAGGAGCAGACATATTAGAGGGCCACCTATGTGCCTAGAGACACTAGTGTGCTGTCAGTGGTCTCATTTCACGGTTGTCCACATGGGTTATTTCTAAGTTCTGTGTCACTTTGTGTCATAGTAGCACTGTGAGGTCTTCTTCTAGTATAGCTTTATGTTCATTTTATTTTCCCTATTAGAAGATAATCTCATTGGACAAAGACCAAGTTTTACTTTACATTCCAGAGATAAAAATGGGACTGAATCAGAAGACTTCAGTTCTACCTGGCTCTGCCACTTGGTAGCAAGTTATGTAAATTTAAAATCTCACATCCTCACTTAACCTATCTGTTAAAATGGGGTTAATAATGTTGTTTCTACCCATGCCATAGGATTGTGGTGAGTATAAAACAAGAGAATAAGTGTGAAAGTACTTTGAAAACTATAAAATACAGGTACAATATAAGTTGTGTATGTAATAATTTTCTTTGTATTACTTGATTTTTTTTTCCAGAAGCTATAGAAATAACACCTTGAAACACAATTCAGTCTATGAAGCTCTGGTTCCCATCTTTTCTCCATGTTTGCTATTCATTTTGTCTACAGCATGGATCCTCCAGTCACCTTCAGATATTTTAGAGATACATCCTAGAGTATTCTACTTTATGGTTGGAACAGCCTTTGCCAACAGCACAGTAAGATTATTTTCTTTAAAAAATTATAATATATATCAGGAATATATGACAATTTGATAATTTGCAAAACCATATATAGTATTAGGATAAGCAGATTTTAAGTTAAAGATATTGGAATCCAAAATTTGAAAAAAAGAATAACTTCAAAGATAGAACATGCTGAAAATTATTTTATTTTTCTCTTTAAAACCAATAGGGTTTAGAGACTGCAGTAGTATTTTGGAACCGTGGCATATTTAAATTTTTTGTTTTGGTTGCCTGCTAAAGAATTCATGGAATAATTTTTGCCTGAGGAGTAGGGCAGGCAAATATTCAGACTGTAAATGTTATTAACAGTGTGGTTGAAATGGTTGCAGATCTAATGATTAGTTTAGGGAGCTTGAAAGGAATTTTTGAGAGAGAGAAAACACATCACACACAGCTCCCACACACTTCTTTAATCAACTGATTTTTAAATTAATACGGAATTTAAAACTGGATAATAAATACAGCATAGTTTTAAATATCTCTCTGCTATGGTGTAGCAAGAGAGCAGACAGGAAGGAGAGATCAGGGGTTGCTGAGGAAAGACCCTGATGGTCTTGATAGCCAGGAAGCCTGGCTCTAAGAGCTCAGGCCAGGTTCTTAATAAGTTTTTGTTTCATTGTTTAGCCACTGAGCTTATGCTTCCATGTATAAAACGTATCTATGAAAGAATGAAACTATAATTGAGTAAGATAAAGGGAGATAAAGAGGTTTTGAGGTGTTATTATGGTAATAGGACTGAATTGGAGGTAGCATCTCATCTCCATGAAGAAATTTAGTTGTGTGGCAGGTTGTCTTGAAAAATTTTTTTCAAATACCAAATCTTAAAATTGGGAGAAATTTTTTTACTCAAACTGTTACTCTTTGGAAGAATGCCTTCTATAGCATCCTTACTAAATTATCTTCCAGACTCTTCTGACACGCATAGGGTCTGAGGGTCCATGGATTTGGAGGTGGGGGCAGAGGTCCATTTGGCCCCTGAGCAGTTGAGACTACTGAATTTAATAACATAATGTAAATGTGTTGGGTCACAGACTTGAATGTTGGAGTGACAAGTTTTGGAAGTAGTTTGCTAATTAAATTTTTATTCTCTCTCTCTCTCTCTCTCCCTCTCTCTCTCTCTCTCTCTCTCTCTTTTTTTCCCACTAACTACAAGTGTCAGCTGATTGTTTGTCAAATGAGCAGTACCCGGTGTCCAACTTTGAATTGGTTGTTGGTTCCTCTCTTCTTGGTTGTCATGGTGATAAACTTAGGAGTTGCCTCTTATATTGAGAGCGTTCTTCTGTATACATTAACAATTGTTTTCACTGTGGCCCACATCCATTATGGAGTACGAGTGGTGAGTAATCTCAAACAAAATTGGTTCCATTTGGTTCGTATAAAGAGTGGAAAGAAGGTGAGGAAAATTTTAAAAAGAAAGTTTGCTTATTATAGTAGCTAGAAGAATTTTGGTGTATTTTCTAAGTTTTGGATGATATCCAGGTGTGTACTTTTAGATACTATTTCTCTAATGAATGTGTTATAATAACTATAAGCAATTTAAAAGTTGGATAATTACTATAAGGAATTCTTGTTTTTAAGTGGATAGAAATGTAAACCATTTCCTTGGTGAATAGAATTGTAAATTCTTTTGTTATTTTAATTACATAGGACCAGATAATCTCATTTGTTGATTATTTATTTCTATGCATGCTTTAGCTTTAGGGGCATTTTTGTTGCTTGTTAAGCTAATTTAGAAAGAAACTGAAATTGGTTTTGTAGCACTGCCTCCCTCCCTTCCCCTGCTTAATTCTTTAAGCAATGTGGTAAGGGAGGTTAGAACTTCAGACTGAAGGAACGCTTTTGCATTATTTGAGGTTTTACTTCATTTATGCTATTCCTGAGCTCTCATCAGGAGAAGTAATAACTAAGGGGAACTATAGAAGAGAAAGAATTTAAGAAGTATTTTGCAAGCCTTAACATTCTCTTCTAAAATAAGAGACTATTTCAGGATAAATGAACTAAGATAGGTATGATAAAATGAAAATCAGAACCATGTAGTTTCTTTATTACACTTGAACATGCTAGTTATTTTACATATTTTAGCAGTCTCATAATTATAATTTTTAAATACTGCAGCATATTCCATCAGGGAGATGGCTCGATGAGAACCCAGTTTACTTAATCATGACCAGTTATTTTAATCATTTAAGTTGTTTCCAGATTTTCACTATTATAAATAATGTGGGAGTGAACAATCTGGAATGATTTCTTTTTTTCTTTCATTTGCTTTGTTTTCTGATGATAACTTCATAATTTCTGGTTATGTAGAAGGGTATTGACATTTTTATGTCTCTTGAAATACTTCTATTTGGTATGCTTGTTTTGAAAGGAACCCTGCTGTGAATCAGCTAGAGAAACAAAATATCTGTTTTATACTGTCATATTTTTAAAGTGGGACACCTGTCATGCTTGATAACAACTTTATAATTTGTATAATTGCTAAACTTAAGCTTTTTCCCTTAGGGTTTCTCCCCAAAGTAGTCCACTTTCATTGGAACAAAATAGATGAAATTACTATGGAAGAAAATTATGATAAGCCTATGACTTATGATATGAAGACAGTTGTTTTCATTTGTGCAAAATTAACAGTATATGCTTTATATCAACACTTGCAGGCCTTATCTAGATATTTCTTCAGTCATTTGCATGAAGTAGAACACAATTAATTGCCAGTGTCTTTCGTAATTGTTTTAATTTATTATAACCCTTCAGAAGCATACCTTCAGAAAGTCATACATACACCAAACCAAACCAAAACACGTTTTCTTTATATTACCAAGGCACTACATTTTCATTGTTAAAAATAAATACAACCTAACTGAAAGAAATTCCAGTTATTTGTCCAGAAATTTGTCTGTTTGTATGCTTTCTTATCACTTCTACAACTTCTGTCCAGAGGGTAAAACCTGCTAAGCCACAAAACATTCACTGGAACTATTGAAATATCGATAATATGAATAAGAATAGAAATAAGAAGTATCAAACAAGTGGTATTTACCAACTGGCATGTAAACAAGCCTTTGCCTACCCATTAGAGATACCCTAACTAAATTGGCCTAAACCTCCCAAAATTTACAGAAAAATCCTGTTTCATCAGGGTTAGGAATGGTTACCTAGAAATGTTATAGAAAGTTGAATGTTGAGTCTAACTATATATGTAAATATTTGATCTACTGGATAGTCAAAGTCAACTAACTCTGTAATTCTTCAGTAGATTTGGATGTGAATCTGTATGGTCAGGAGGGCTCTGGAAAAACTAGAACAAAGGAGTTAGGCAGAGCCCGGTTTAAGCCCTAACTCTCCCAGCGTAGTTCTAGCACTCTGATTTAGCCATCTAGCTCCATAGCTATCCGAACGCAGATAAACCTCTTCATTATTTATGATTTTTGCTGTGTCAGTCAACTGTTGTCTCCAGAGGGAGAATTCTGTGTGTTTTTAAAAAACGATTAGGTATGCATTTGTCACTGCCTCATGTTCTGGTTTTCTACAGGTAAAGCAACTGAGCAGCCATTTTCAGATTTACCCCTTCTCATTGAGGAAACCAAACTCAGATTGACTAGGAATAGAAGAAAAGAACATTGGTCTATAATCTACAGAAAGAAGCACTGTATATAAGATGCTTGTAAATATTTCATCCATCACCATTGAACTAAACTGATCTGCTTAACAGTCATGAGAACTCTGTGTGTGTGGTGCTTGTACAGGAGGAATGAGACATATGATCTGAACTTGTGGAATTTTGAACCTATTAACTCCCAGCTTATTTTATTTTTTTATAAAACCATGTGATATTTTGGTTAATCATAATGTGCATTAGATAAGCAAAATGTTCCTAGTAATTTTAGCTTCATAAGTCCATAACATTTTGGTTTATACATTCAGAAAACCACAATATGTTTTCATATTTGGTACTTAGTAGTAAGTCTTTAGTTGTGGAAGCTATCAGTAGTCCACACCTATTATAGGGAAAAGATGAGGGCAAGTCACCTTCAGCAAGAGATGCCAAGTGATGACAGAACAATATACAGGTTTGCCAAATACTGGTTTCTCTTTCCCATGGAAATGCCTTTGTCCTCATGTGCTAAGAGAGCTAATATATATATCTATATATATTTGGATTCTCTAGTATTCTGGCTCTTTTTGTTATGGAACGGATATTGGTAAATGGCTTAATACTCTTTTAAAGAAAAATACTCTATTGAGACTTAGTAGAGAATGGATTGTAATTGTATCTCACGCATTGGCTTGGTGCATCATTTAAATGTGGCATTTCCCCGCCTCAGCCACAAGGTGCTGAGATTTGGTGCCTGTGAACTATGATTAAATGAATGCACGTGACAGTGTCAGTCTTATGATAATTACTTGTGAGGAACATGGATAAACTTCCTTGTAAGAGAAATTTACTTTGGAGTTAGGAATCTCATGAACCTCACTACAAAATTAGTTTTCTGATTCAATTTGTCCGTTCTTTCTTCCTCCTTCTCTCTCCCTATATCTCTTTTTGTGGAGGAGAGAGTGCTGTGTTATTTCATTCAGGATAAAGATGTAGAGAGAAATTCTCTCTTCCCCAACTTGCCCACCTCCCCTATTGAAGAAAATTTTTGATACATATGCCTTACTGAGTACGTACTCCCTTTAATATGACTTGAGGTTTACTGACAAACAAAATCTCTTTGATTTTAATATGATTGTTTTATAGATCACACCTTTTCATGGATGTGAATATTTTCTTCTGTTTCTTTTTTGACTTTGTTTCCATTTACTTTGGTGGTGGTGAAATTTACATCCTGATTTTTTTTTTTTAAATTTTCTACTGAATGAAGTTTGTGCTTGAATGAAGAGTGTATCCTAAACCCTCTTTTTTTTTTTGGATGGATTGCACTTGGATAAAATAGGCACCACTATGTTGACATATAATTACATTCATAACCATTATTTATGTATGAATGTGACTATCTTTAAATTTAATTATAATGTATTCCTTTGTTAAATTTGTCTGCTGCTTTGTAAAAATAACTGTAATTGATATTTCAATTTTTAAATTTGTAAATTCTAATCATTGTCATCTAGGTTATTAGAAATGAGTCGGGGAGCTAACTCATGATTCTGTACTCAATTTTTAAAATGCAAAGGTTGAGCTATATTTGTTGACCTCTGAGACAAAAATGAACACTGAAAATAGATGAGAAATTGATGCAGGAAAATATGGGTAGTGATTCCATGTTTGTTAATAAGTCGCCATCATGGAGGTCAGAGAATGATGGCAACTAAAAACGAATTAAGTGAAGGTAATGCTATTTTTTGTATACCTTGTTCTGTGTCATCTGGATAGTGTTAATTTGGGCTGAAACAAAGCTTCGTTTTAAGGTTTCTAAACTAACCATTTTACTGTTTTGTTGACCTTGTACACAAGAATGAGACTTTCTTCACCTTGTACAGGATAGTAAAAAAATACCTGTTATTTCTGGCATAGGATCATGTCCTGTAGTTTTGGGGCTATTTTACCTTAAAGTGTGTTTCTGCTCTTTCTTTTGTATCAAGTTCATTTGAAAATTGTTTTGTGCCTATACTTTTATGACTTATTTTTCTGTGGTGGTAAAGAATTATGCCATGGTCAGTTTTACTGACATCGTTAGATGATGAGAGAAAGATGCCGTCAACAAGGTTAAAGTGAACTGAATTTAAATGTTTCAGAATACTGTGAACTTGTGCATCTTTAGGGTACTGCTGACTCTTTTTCTTGGTTTGGTCTGCCATCTTGAAGTGTTTCTTGAAAGCCCCCATTTGGTATGTAGCGATAGGGCGCCTGAAGCAAGATTTAATTACAAATGGCTCTGTGCATTTATGTCATGCCAGTTATCATAACATTTCCAAAGTGTAAAAGATGTTTCAGGTTTATGCATGATATTTTGGGGTGAGTTCACACCCCAGCCTTTCTCCCAGCTTACACTGAGCTGCCTTTTGGGGAGCAGTGACATGGTTAGTCATCCATGCATGTTTTCTGTACATTTCAGAATAGAGTGCCTTAGCCAGGCCAGAGGTTTGCTTTGTGTTTCTGCTGACCAAAGTTACCTAGACCTGTAAGAAGTTTTTCAGGTTATGGTATGAAAAATGTCCTTTTTTGCTTGTCAGAAAATAATTCCCCTTTATTTGAGCAGGGATGGCATAGAGTATGCTAATGCTACCTTTGGTGATCCTTTAATAACATTCCTGACCTTAGTGCAATGCACAGTTTAAAACTGTCACAATTTAAATCGTCATTCCTGCACTCATACGTAATAAATATAGTTTATGGGTTTTAGTCTTAAGGGTTATAGAGTGAAAAACTTCCAAAACTAAATAGTCTTTCTTGGCATTTTAATAAGATCATGGTTAAAATACTTCTAATTCTAATTTTAAAAGAAAGTTAAATGCTCATTATGGTCTAGAATGTTACAGTATTACTACCAACATGTCATTTGTTTTAATACAGAGCTATTGGCATGAGGAGTGCATGTCTAGAGTTGTCCTGAATCTAAGTAGATACGAAAGAGTATTGATCATGACCTGGAGCCTGGGCGTTGGGGGAATGTGCAAAGGGAAAAGCAGATATAATATTTACTTTAAGGGAAAGAAGGGATCTTCTCAAGGCCTAATGCCCTTTGTGCCCGATGATCTCATGTAATACACAATTTAAAATTGTCACAATTTAAATTGTCGTTCATCCACTAATTTCAAACTCAAGTGTGAAATTTGAAAGTGTCCTAAGTGTTTAGTTTTCAAAGAATTAGTTTATTTTTTTAGGCAGTCATAAAGCACTTGGAATATACCTTGCTTTCCAAAGGAGACTTTGATTTTATAACCTATGGAAGATGAAAAGATAATCTGAAGGTGTTTGAATCACAGGCTACTTTCCCCCTTATATTTTAGCTGGGAGTCTATTTGTAACTGTCGTTCTTCAGTCTTCATCTGGGTTTCCTTTTAACTAGCCACCACCTAGGACAGAGATGCCCACTTACTCTGTTGCCCTTAGATCTTGCCACATTCAAATCTCCTTGATTGTCTTGGATGTCTTATCTAGTCAAGGACTGGGAACGTGCCAGAGGGAACAAAGTAAACCCGATGGGCTAGAATTTTGACCTTGGGTCCCCAAATAAGCCAAAAACAGATACAGAAATTTTTGGTCATGTTGATTCCTGCATTCAGAGTGGCCTTTGTCTTGACTTCAGCTCTGGACTTACTCACTCTGGGAAATTTGTGAAGTCAAACTAGAATTTTCTTTGTCCTGTGAGGTGTCTTTGTACAGCAGCATGCCCTTTCTTGAACACCCTGTGGGTGAATAACCTTATTAAGTTAACTGTCAATACTAGAAACTACCAGGAAGAATTTTAACTAATATGCTGCATTCGAAGCACTTTGACATGTACATTTAAAAGTGACAGTTTTAACAGTAAAATGGTGTTAAATTAATCACTGTGAAACTAGAAAGTGTGATGCTCTGTACATTTTAGGAAGTTAAGTAAATTCTGATTTTTCTTTATTAATTATGAAACCCATGTGATTTGTATGTTTTCCTTTTTCATCTCTGACAGTGGTGCAGATGACTGACATATCGGCAGGCAGCTACTCTAGGGTATGTGGTAAATCATGGTTGTCTTAACTTTTCCAGAGAACGTGGCGATATGTTTACTTCTTCCTTGCACGGAGCTATGGCAATTGCATTTATTGACTAATTCATTTCCAGTGTTTCTACAGTGCAAAATAAATGTAACCTTACTTTTTAATCCACATGCTAGTAATATGCATTGCTCTTTAGTAAACAAATATGCAAATGATAGTAATCTGGCTGATTTTTTTCTGTTGTTAATCAGGGACCTGCTCTTTGCACAGACAGAGCTTAAATGAGCTAATATTTCGGGCAGCAAAAGCAGCCTTGTCATTTCTAGCCCTCTCGCAGACGGCCTGAGCAAGAGGGTCGTGTCGCATTCGGTCTGAAAGGCCAGCTTCCCAGAATTGGAAAGTAGCACGGGGACTGATTTTAGAATATTTTAACAAGGGCCTGTCTCTCTAGGAAAGCCCATTTGGACACAACAGAAGGAGTGTGTGGTCTTCCACAGACCACGTTGTCTTACTCTGCACAGAATCATTCTGAGAAACAGGCTAACTCGGAGTGGTGCTGTTTTTAAAACTTGTGAATTAGATGGTGGCCCCAGAGCACCTGATGCTGCACTGCAGGTGGAGACAGGATCAAGGAGTGACTAAAGGCTGTGGGCGCCGTAGGGTTCTTTGGTAAAGTCTTCACAGGAGCAGTTTCTGTGAGCAACAATTAAAATTAGAATTGATTTCAGTCTTTTATTAAAACATACGTAATTCACCATGAATTCTAGATTCTGATAAAAGTGCTAGTGAAAGTGACTAGCACTTTTACTGTCGAAAAAGTAAGTTCTTGACCAGGAACGTGTTTAGTTAGTACTCGATGTGACTAACCAGGTTATAGCACGGGCCTCTTAATTTTACAGGATCTCTGAATGCTACATTATAAATCTGTTTGAATAACTAGTATCTTTTAGTATCAGACTTTGAGTTTAATAACTACAAGTTAAGACTGTCCAAATCTGTTTGGATAACTAGTATCTTTTATATCAGACTTTGAGTTTAATAACTACAAGTTAAGACTGTCCACAATATTAACATTTTCATAGGTTATTTTGTTTAGATTACTTAACGAGCAGCTTATTCAGGAGACAAAGACCCGGCTGCATGTATTGATTTACTCATTCTGAAATGTGCCAAGAAGGCAGAATTTAGTATTAAATTCCAAATTTCATTTTTTCAACAGCATTTCCTCTGAGTAAAGGAGAAGGCAATGAATAATTGTCTAGTTGTAAAGTCCCTGTTGCCACCTTCTCCCCTACCCTTCCCTCCTAATATAATAGATTAAATTTGTAGCCAATTGTAGAAAAAGAATTGGATACTTTTCTGAGTAAGGTTTCATGCCCTGTACTTAAGAATAGGTGGCAGGAATCATGGCCCAGTCAATTGAGTTGTTTAGCTTGGTCCTGTGCCATTTACTTTCTGTAGTATTCTGAAACAAAAGGGTGATACCATCCCTGCTCAGGTACCCAGAAACAATACCACTTAAGCAACTGAAATATGTTTGCTACAAGTAGACTATATTAGGGAAGATGAAGAGGAGCACAAAACCTTATTTTCCCTTTTAAGTAGTTTAACTGAACATATTAGTAATTGGTCTGTCTAGCACTTGCTGTGCTCATAGTAAATAATGTAGCATTTATTTTATCTGGTTATGTGTGGTGTGTGTATATACATATTTAATATGTACACATATAGTCTGTGCATATATATATGATATATTTGTATATACATGCAGTCTACTCTTGATTATCAGTGAAGTGGTAAGCCCTCACTTTACACTTTCTTCATGTTGACTTAATCTGCATGTAGCCCATAGCTCTGTGAAGCCTCTTTCTCATCTGGAGCCACAATCTTTCTTTCCAACTTCCAGTTCGTCTCAGCCCTCAAAGGCCCTTAAAATATGTCAGCTTTCCATTTCCTTTTCACCAGGGATCGTGTGAGCCATATGCACCTCTTTTGAGAAAGACGGCTGCTTCCACTGGGGTTGAGGCTTCTGGGTCTGCATGATGATAGGACCCATTCCTGGCCAGAAGGCAGCTCTGGAAGCACTTTTGCTCCTGGGCATGCTCGCTCTCTAGCCAAGTGGGTGGGGCTTCACAACTTGCTTAAATTTCTTAGCTGGAATGCTTTGAAATCTTAGATAAGTCTTTGATGTACGAATACAGCCATGCATTTCACCATTACTGTTCCCCATTGCTAGCCCAGATAATCAAGACCTGACTGTTTTTTGCCACTGGATTCTGGAAGCCTTGCCTTTTCAACTGGATTTATGTTTATTTCTGCTGCTGTGAAACCCAAAAGTAATGCAGTAGGTTTTAATTTAAAATTGTTTAATTCTATTATTGATAAATATTTATTGTAATAAAAGTAAAGAGTAAATAATTTTTAAATCTTTTCAGTTGTTTTCAGATTGGTGTTTTTTTTTCCCCCTTGGTAGGTGCAAAAGGGGAGGGAGCTGTGGGGAGAAAAATTGATATTCAGCCACTTGTCTCAAAGAATCATTGATCGTTTTAGAGCAAAAACATTACAAGGATTTTTTGTTTTGTTTTCTAAGAAATATCAGCCCACTTTTTTCCTAGGTGTTCTATAATCTTGTGACTTGTTTCCAAAAGCAGAGTACTAGGCAGGCGGCATGTGCTATTTTTGACTCCACTAGAACTATGTACTGGGTAATATATAATAATAGCTAGATCACACTGAAATGAGTTTGTAAGGTGGTTGTTTTGTACGCCATCATTTTCTCAAAGAAAGTGTTAATGTGTGGTGGTAATTTTTTAGGCTAATTCCATAAGAATCTGATAACTCACACCTAGTACCCCACAACAATAGTATACAAACCGTAAGCTCTTATAAAAACTCTGATTTTCTAACATTGCTTTTGAAGAGAATGTTTTCTAGTTTTTACAACAGAATTGATCTCAGTTCTGACAGTGGGCATTAAAAAATTGTAATGGGTTTGAAGGCGAGGGAAGAAACGTCCCATATTTTCACCCACCCTAGTTGTCCAGCTGTGTGCTCTTAATCCCCTGCCCTCCCAACTTCTTGGTTGCTGTAGCAAGTATCCCCTCTATCTGCAGATCTCAAACGCCTAGCAAGTACCTGACACACAGCAGGCATGTACTAGGTAACTACACTTCGTTTTATCTAAAAAAGACCCAGTGCACCAAAGCGTCTCGCTCCTCTTCCTGCTCTCATCTTTTCCCCTCTGCTCACAAATTTCCTGAAAGAAAACTTTATAACTGCTTCCGTTTTATTTTTTGCTTTCATTCTGAAAGTTTCGTAAGACCTCCCAAACATTTGATACAATGACTGTTTCATACTCATGTTCAGGTTTGCAAGCTTTGATCCAGGGCAAGTTACTTATTTTTACTGTGCCTTAGTTTCTTCATCTGTAAAACGGGATTAGTAGTATTATGGCACTTATATGTTATGAATGCATGTAGAGTGTTTAGCACACTGAGTGGTCCAAGGTAGGCGCTTGGTTTCTACTAATACCTAGTTCTCAATTTTTTATCCTTGAACGTTTCCCTAAGCTTTATGACTTACTTATGACTTCTCTTCCCCCTCCCTTCTCAATTCCCTCCTTTGTACCTTTGTAGGCAGTGTACGATGATGGTGAGGCAGTTCTAAAAATAACTAGAAATGAATAAAACAAGGTTGCCTTCTGACAATCTATTAGTAAAATTCACACTACTTGGGAGATAGGAATAATCTAAGAAATTATGTAAAAAGACTATGCTGAAGGTGGTTGGCCAGCCTGTAAGCATAGCAAAGAAAGCCCGTTATATCCAGAAGGTTTTGCCTTTTTTGTTACCCAAAACTTACCTGGGAATGGGGGTGCCATGCCCCAAGGACTCTATTTAATCTTTATGGCAAGTTATATCCATTGTGGGCCCCTGAGTTCATTATAGTCAATGGTACATCATCAAGAAACTTCCCAATTATAGTTTGGTTCCCTTTGTAGATCACCCACTGGGTATGCTTGGTCACAAGTCATAAACACACACATGCCTGTATGTCAATTGTAGTTTTTTGCTCAGTTATAGTTTTTTGCGCAAATTAGCATATTCTCTATATGTTTTTCTTTTGTGAGCCTATTAGTGTAAATCAGTTCTCAAAAGCACGTTTCCTTTTGGAGTACTGGCTACAAGTTGAGGACCAGGCTCTGGAGGCTAGTGAATTATCAAGGTGGACATCACTACATCTCTCCCCCTAAAAACCTTCTCTGTGACAGCCCTTGCCTGCTGCAGTCTCTTCAGGATCTGTCACCACTTTAAGAAAATGAATAAATTAACTATTTTTACATTAAGTGATTTGTGTTTTTTGGTAAAATTTTTTAAAGAATGAAAATCACCCATAGACTCGACCCCCAGAGATATCAGTTACTTTGTGTTCTTTTTTCATTTTTCTTGTGTACATACTACATATATTTTAAATAAAACAGGGATCATCCTCTACATACTGTGTTGCATATTCCCTTCCTCTTTAATATATCTTGGATGTCTTTCTACGTTAGATTCATTCTTAGTGGCTGCATTGTTTGTCATTCCACGAATACTTAATCTGTTCCCCTATTGATGGATTTTGGTCCATATCCAGTTTTTTAATATAAATAACTGCAGTGAGCATACAGATACATCTGTGTACATCTTTTTTCGAAAAGTATTTGTTGAACAGTCATTACATACCAAGTATTTTGCCAGGTGCTGTATGTACAATGCTGAATAAAAATGACATTTCAACCCAATGGAACTATAGCCTAGGTAATTCTTTTAAGTAGAATTGCCTAGTCAATGCATATACTTATTTCAACTATGAATAGATATTGGCAAACTGTCCTAAAAGTGCCTTTCTAACAGTGAATGAGTGTCTTTTTTCCCATACCTGTGAAAATGGTTTATTACATATATGATTGAGGCTTTGACTACAAGGAAGACCTCCCAGCTTGTTTTAAGATGGCTGGAGGGAGCCAGGACAGGATGCTGGCTTGGGAGCTTTTATTGTGGTTAGGTGGTAGGGCTGGGATGAGGGTACCCAGTGCACACTGTTGGAACTTCCTGCCAGTGCCAAAGGAGAGAACACCTAGGCCTTTTTTTTTTTTTTTAAATCAGCTGCCCAGATGTGGATCAGAGAAGAAAGGCATGAGCCTTAAAAGTTGTCAGTAGTCAAACAACAAAAAAG